AAGGAAGGAAGGAAGGAAGGAAGGAAGGAAGGAAGGAAGGAAGGAAGGAAGGAAGGAAGGAAGGAAGGAAAGAAATCTAGTCTCTACCATTTGGGTAAGACAATTTTCCCAATTTCAAATGTTTTAGTGGAATAGAGATGGAATTTCAGCAGGTGGAACGAATAGTGGTGAGGGTCCCTTAGGGATACTACGTTACAAGTCACAATTACTTTTATAGGGGAAGTGAACAGTAATCAAACATTTCCTAGGGCTACTAGAAAAAGTTGGGAACTAACTACTGGCTTAGACCACATTTAATTAGACCTAAACAATACATTTTCATTAGGTCTCGGAGTGGATTTAGGAATGTCTTTTTACTAAAGGGCTGGATCGAGAGGGGGGCAACTATAGTCCCTTTACAATCTGTGGACTTCAACTCCCAGAATTCCTGAGCCAGCATAGACTCTATGGAGATTCTCTTATCATCCAGGTCATGGTTATCCCCAAGATGCTTTTTCCAAAAAGGCAACTTGATTTTCTTCATTTTTTCTTTGAAAACATTTGACTTCTCACCCAAGAAGCTTCTTCAGTTCTAACAGAAACTAAAGTTAGAACAGAAGAAGCTTTTTGGATGAGAAACAAAATGTTTTCAAATTAAAAAAACCAAGAAAGTCCACTTGACTTTCGGAAAAAAACACTTTTGCAAATAAGTCCACAGGCCATAAAAGGGCCATAGCTCCCCACCCTTGGGCTACATGAATTGTGATGATACAACTATGTGTATTTATTCATGCACCCTCCTCACGTGCCCCGAAGGAAAGTAGCCCCATTTGTTTTTGACACAAAATGTTCAAGTAAAAGAATTAAAATCCTGTTAGCCCTTTCCTTTTTTTTTACCTTGTGGTATTTTAATGCTTTAAGCCAGGGGTTGGTGATCTTAAACACTCAAAGAGCCACAAAGGTCCTAACCAGAATTCCCCATTCAATTCTGGAGCTGACCGGAAGTCCGGTTTCCCCACCATAGTCTTTTCCTAGTGCGGCATTCTTTTTCCTCTACCTGTCCTAACCAAAAGCCCTATCAATTGTGGAGCTGACCGTAAAACCCACCCTTGCCATAGAGTCTCCTCCTGGTGTGCCCTGCTCCCCCCCCCCACTAAACCGGAAGCTCCTCTCAAAATTATGGTGCTGACTGGCGATAGGGAGCCGCAGCAGAGGGATGAAAGAGCCACATGCGGCTCCAGAGCCATGGGTGGCTGACCCCTGCTTTTCCATCACTCCACTCCTGTTCTACTGCTAGAAATGGCTTGATTGAAGGACAAAATTGCTTCAAGCAGCCGGAAATACAATTTCCAGGGCTAGACCCAGGGGTGGGTTCTGGCTGCCACTACTACTGGTTCGGTAGTAAAAAAAAATTCGCGTGATCAGCACGTGTGCGCATTTTCATTTAAAACAATTTGCACAGGCGCACAACATTAAAAAAGCGAATTAAAATAACATTTTTAAATGAAGATAGTGCAGAACAGAAAAGCAAGATGGCGCCACCGATCATAGAAATGGTACGGTCACATGATCGCTGGAGTTAATACCTATTCGGCTGAACCGGACCGAATAGGTAGGAACCAGTGATGGGTTGCAGGCGGTACACCCCGGTACAGGCGTACCGGAGCCTGCCCGGAGCACTGGGTACCGTTCAACTTATTCATTGAGTTCATTGAATGACTGTTTTGAAGTTACAATGACCCTGAAAAAAGTGACTTAAGTTATGACTGTTTTTGACCATTGCAGCATCCCCATAGTCACACAATCATAATTCAAATACTTGGCAACTGACTCCTATTTATGGTGGTTGCAGTGTCCTGGTGTCATCTGATCACGGTTTGCAACCTTCTCACAAGCAAAGTCAACGGGGAAGCCAGATTCAATGAACAACCAAGTTACTAACTCAACCATTTCAGTGATTTACAACGGTGCCAAGAAAGGTCGTAGAATGGGGAGTTAGCCTAGATTT